GGGTGGGGGCGGGGGTCTGGCGGGTGGCCGGCTCTGACAGCAGCGGAGTGCTGCAGGGTCGCCGCGGAAGGCCCTGGCTCCTAGGATTTCGTAGAACGTGGGGTGGATTTGACCTACACTGAAGAGGGGCGGAGTGCGCGGGGTGATGGGTCCCGGAGTCTCGCCACCGGTGAAGACCGAGAGGGTGGGAACGCGCGGGCGTGGCAGCGGCGAGGGCCGGGAGAGGCGCAGGCCTGACAGCAGCGGAGTGCTGCAGGGTCGCCGCGGAAGGCCCTGGCTCCTAGGATTTCGTAGAACGTGGGGTGGATTTGACCTACACTGAAGAGGGGCGGAGTGCGCGGGGTGATGGGTCCCGGAGTCTCGCCACCGGTGAAGACCGAGAGGGTGGGAACGCGCGGGCGTGGCAGCGGCGAGGGCCGGGAGAGGCGCAGGCCTCTTTGTCCTGGAACTCCGGCACCTGCCAGGGTGTGATGTGCAGAGAGCTGTACGACTGGCATCTTCGAGGGTGGACAGCCAGCGTGGGTTTAACTAGGACGCTAGGGACCCAGTACTGGCAATGGTAGTGGGCGTGCCGGGCTCTGGAGATCCAGGGAGGCCAAGGAAGTGCAGAGATGGAACACACAGCTCCAAGCTGGCTGCAGAGGGCGGGCCGGGCGGCTGACATCCGGGAGCCTCTTCCCTTGGGGTAAGGAGAGGGCAGCCCTAGAGTTCGGAGGGACCAGAAGCTCAGTCCCACGAGGTGGGAAGGACCTGGAGCTTATTCTCCGCAGGCCTGGGCCACCCAGCTGGTGCCCCACGCGCTAGAGGAGCCTCAAGTATCAGCTGCTAGTCAGGCCTGGGGATGGCCACTTCTTCTTGCAGGTGGGAAACACAGCACCCCTGGCGGCGGCTAGGAGTGAGGTTGGATGGAGGGAGGATGTGGGCAGCCACTAGAAACCCCGGACCGCCCCGCCCCCGACTGCACAGGGAGTGGCAGAGCACATCCCCTCCCTAGCTCCAAAACTGTTAAAGCTAAAAAGGTACAGACAACTCCAGAAATGACTAAATTTAACCTATACGAGACAATGTAAGGATACATGTGGCAGTTTTACGTTTTTCTTAAAATCCCAAAACAAAAAAAAAAAATTAAGAAAACCTGGGCTATGGTTTTCTCACTTAGATTTTTACAAATGTGAAGGACGGAGAGTGCAAACCGTAAATTGCAGTGTGACTCACACACTTTAAGGTCAGAGAGAAGTGAAGGGCATGGGTTCTGTTGCTGCCCCTAAGGGCACCACCTAGAGTCTTCATGGATCTGGAAGTAAAGCTTAGTATTCACCCCCCACCCCACCCCCACTCCGGGGTAGCGCCAGGTGTGTTTGCACTAGTATACAGTGCAGTTCTTAGTAGCATCATGCAGAAGTGCAGGAGTTTCTCTGCATATGGAGGAAGTCACTGCTCAACCACGTTCTACATCGCTCAGCTGTTTTAGAAACAACCTCTCAAAAGTAAGATCTGTCCCACCCCAAAATGAGTGCCCAGAACCTGTGATACTTGGTTTTTGCCTAGCATCCTGGTAAGAGAGTTTGGGGTCATGGAATCTATAAGTAAGTATATAGTACCTGTTAATCCAAAATTTCTAGGGAAAAAAAATGACAGGAGGGCCCAGTGATGGTTGCAGGACAACAAAGAAGTACCCAACAACTTAGGGTCAGACATTTTTAAATTCAGCTTCAATGCTGGACCCTTTTGAATAGGAGGTTTCTTTTTTGAAAATACCCTGATTCTATTTCTCTGGAGTCTAAATCTAAGATTCCATCTCCAGGGCACTGTGGCTAATCAAGCTTGGTGCCAAATCATTGGGGAGAAGAATGATCTCTTAGGTAACTGGTCCTCAGAGATAGAGTGTATTCTTGGTCAAATGCAGTGCCTTAAATTACAGCAGACATAGCAAAGCCCTGCAGAATATCTGATGTGCTCAGTGTCTGCAACAGACTGAAACTTCCTTTGGAACTGGGATAGTTCTAATTAGATTGTATCCTCCACCTCCAGCACAACACTTGCACAAAATATTTGCTCAACAAATATTAGTGAAGTGAATGCATGAACTTCTAGAAAGAACATTCCATGACAGGAACAATGATGCATTCTGTGTTCATGAATGTTCCCATGGAAACATAGGAATTATGAGACTTTTTCATTAGATTCTGAAAAGAATTAGTAACAGTTTGCTTATTAGAGTATCTATTCAAAAGCATTCAGCTTCCCTTTAAAGTTGGACCAGTGCTTCTCTGAAGTGATGAGTACCTATAGTCAGCAGAAAGAGCAGGCAGATAGGTCAGAGCACGCATTTTCAAATGCAGGCTCTACCAATTACTGGCCCCATGATCCTGGAAAATTACTTAATATACAGGATTAATATGAGGATTAGATGAGATCATGTATATTGCTGGGCTTTGTATACATTATTGTTCTCAAGAGTCCCTAATCCTATAAAACTGGTAATCACAACTCAGAAAGGAGTTGCTAGTTTCACCTACTGTTCCAGTATATATTTCCCTTTTTCCTTCCTTCTTGGGAGACTCCCGCCCATGCCCCAGATGCTCCAATGTGGCGGTGGATCCACCCCTTAATGGGCTTGAGCATGGGAAGGAGGTGGGACCATGGCTTATCAGAGGAGCATGTGGGTCATACTCCACCCCTTCCTCTGGCTCTTACAAACATTCTGCCACCTCTTCCTCGAATTTCTCTGAGCTTTGGAAAGGGTGGCAGATGCAGGGCAGTCGCTCTTGTATCATGGCAAGATACTGACCTCTTGGGCCTCCCCATCATTCATGTTCAAGACATGGCCACTGATCTATCTCAGTGGTGTTTCCCCTACTATAAAGACAAAAGGAAGTGGACACATGTAAACAAACATGAATGTAAATACAAATGCCTAGAAGATATCCCAGTAGGTGTACCATATTCATTAAACAGTATACTTGCAACAGCTTCCCTTCTGGGGCCTCTAGCCTTCCCTGACACAGGAGATTGGCCTGGTCTACAGCACCAGACATGTGTTCAACCCTTAGGAGTGGGCCTTATCCAATTAGAAATTTGTCAGTTGTACATATGTTAGTCAAACTATTATTGTATTAGCAGGCATTGCTTGGTGTGTCCATAGTGTGTCACACCCGGGGTCCATTGTTGAACAGAATCATATGGGATTTTTTTCCTCCAACTATCTGCAGAGTACCTTCTGGCACTATGAAAGCCATCCATCCAGTGGCTTGGAGTTTTTAACTTGGTCTTGGCTCCACTCATGCTTCATCATGCAGTGTCTTCATCAACGTGGCCTTACTGACCCAAGTGTACAAGCACCATTAGTGGCAATAGCCTTGGTTAATTTGGGGACCTCTAGGATCTCTCTCTGAACAATAGCTCATGGGGGCAGGGGGCAACCCACCTCTGGTACTATAGTTTTTCTTAACAGTTGTATAGTTTTGGGAGTCTCTTTTTATCTTACCTAATCATAGAATCTTACAGGTATAGCTGGCCTTAGTTTCTTCAAGAATATTACAGCTATAGCTGGCCTTAGTTTCTTCAAGAATATTACAGCTATTGCTGGCCTTAGTTTCTTCAGGTATCTTTCAAGTGGGTTTCACATTTGCAAACACTCAAAGGTTAACATTACACATTAAATCAGTCATAGACAAGCCCTAACACAGCATGGAAAGGTTTTATCCATTGGTATTGGTTGCTTTCTCCATAGATCTTTGTTAGATACCTGTCCCCAAGTTCTTTCAGGGTCCTTGCTCCTGGCGCTATTAGACAAGCCACATAGCACATCTTTATCTGAGTTTTTCATAGTTTATATCCTGAGTAGGAGGAATAGAGTGACTTACGAAGGTGAACACCCCGCACTCCACAAGAGGCAAACACCCAGTGCCCCATTCCACTCTGTGGTTCAGTAGACTGGCATTCCAGATCGCTTCTGTGCCCTGCCCACAGTCTCCGTTAGCTTTCTCCCATGCCTCCTGAGCCCACAGTCTCACCCCATGTTGGTAAATGACCCCTCTCACATCCACACAGGCGAGCCACTGGGGCCATTTTTTTCTACGCCACTCTGCTTCTGTTCCACGATGGCACCAAAAAACCCTCCTTCCACAGCTAACACTCCACAGTCAATTCGCAGGAGTCCATGCCCCTCGGAGGAACCAGGCCTCTTGGGACACAGTACCATAGCATGGATAAGAGGCATTAATTTGGTTAGTTCTTTACTATCTTTAGTCATCCCTTTGGAGTCATTTTGTATTCTAGGGATCTTAATGGAGTCTCTTTGTATTCTTTTATCCTTGATACATTTACAGTTGCTGGCTCCAGTTGACAGGCCCTGCACTGGGCTAAAGAGACAGAGGGTCTCTCTTGTTCCTGTTGCACCTGTTAGTTCCCTGAATCAGGCAGGCCCTGGGTCTGCCTCCTGGATGTAGCCATATCTGCAACCTTTCCATTGACCACACCGGGCTGCTGGGGGAGGCCCTGGTGGGA